AACTTCTCTTTTCCGTGTAATTTTCTATTTTAATTTAAGTTTTTGCATAAATTTCCCACTTGCCATGTGTGCATCGTATTATGTTGCGGAACCTTATTACGGCGGGGCTAAATAGCAAATTACTTCCTTAACTGGAAGGCCGTAATTGAAAAATTCCACAAAATTTCAAAAAATTTCTCAAACAAAATTAATTCAAAACACGTCATTGCAATTTTCTCGCCACATGAGAAACAAAAATCATTTAAAGGACGTTTCCCATATATATATATATATAAATTTTTTTTTTGCTGTTCACACATCAAAGCGTTATAATTTTTGTTTTGTTCTCAATTCACTTTTCTGTTTCCTTTTTTTTTTTTTTGGTTAGAAAATTGGGCAATTTTAACCTAAATACGTAGTTACTGGGCTCACGTGTGCATATTTTCACTTAATTTCAAAATAATATATTGGCCTGTTGACTTAAAGAATCAACAAAACTTATATGCACAACTAATAAAAGCCTTGAAAAGTAACTGAGCTACTGTTTTAGGGTTTTTATGGTCCGCACTTAAGACATAAGAATCTTGACAGAATTTTAACAATTATAGATCATATAATAAAAAACAAGAAACACTATCATCCAAAAAATCTACACATACAAGCGTCAAATATATTTTTTATATATGTACATAATTCTTATCATTAAATATGATGATGAGAATAATAGAATTGTGAAAGCTACCACTCTAAACTAATCAATACCATTACAAACAACCCATTAAGTGATTAAATGTAACTTAAACGATTCAAATGGCTTAAACATGTTCAACTGAAAAGAATTAGCTGCTGAAAAGAATTCTTCATTACCTCCAACCGCTATTTAGAGATGAAAATATCAATGCTAAGAACAGGAAACTGATATATAACCAAATAATTTGTCCGTCACTTCTATATGGTTGTGTAGCGTTTAGCAAAGCTTCAAACACTACTATTCACCAGTTAGAAATTGCACAAAACCAGGCTCTGACAAGACTTTTCAAAGTTCCTTGGTACATTAGGACGAATGACATCCTCAGGGACCTCAAGATTGATCCCATCAAAAAACACAAAAAGGATGGAGCCCTGAAATTATTTGCGAAATCTGACAGACTTACTAACACCGCGTTATCAAATCTCAGAATGGTTACAGGCTCCTCGGGGAGATATGCAGATCTGAGGTCAATTATTGCTTAGTCTGATGATGAAGTGATAAAATGTTTAATAAAATCAATACGCAGCTGAATTCGACGTTGAGAAGAATCTTATGGATTTCAAAGGCTTGCTCTCTAGAGTGGTCACTAACAATAAAAACATTCCGCTAAATGCTGATTTAGTCAACTCACTATGTTTACGACTATGATCTAGAAGATACTCTGTATCCCGGACACAAACCAGAAGTCAGGATTTTAAATTACCAAAGAAAGCTACATTAGTTGATCCAAACGATTTAGTCGATTATTCTCATAATATGCCTATCTAAACAATCTATTCTCGGGACTGCTTACATCACCATCTGGAGCAGACTGTTGACTGTATATTTTGAATGTACTTGATTGGTTTTCATGTCATAACTTTTGTTGTGATTTCCTGGTTTAATACGCTGCCATATTCGACAATGAGAAAAATCTTATGAACTCTATAGGTTTTCCCCAGAATTGTTATTAAGAATATAAATAACCCGCTAAATGTTAATTTAGTTAACTCACTATGTTTAAGATTAAGATTTCAAAGATAATCTATTCCTAGGATCAAAAAATCCAGATGTTGATACGCTGCCATATTTGACAATGAAAAAAATCTTATGAACTCTATAGGTTTCCCCAAGAATTGTTATTAAAAATATAAATAACCCGCTAAATGTTAATTTAGTTAACTCAATACGTTTAAGATTAAGATTTCGAAGATAATCTATGCTTAGACCCAAAAAAATCCAAATGTTGAAGAATGCTAAAGAATGGTATATTCGCTAATCCAACTGATCCAGTCGATTGCTCTCATAATGTATATGTCTAAATAATATAAGCTTGTCTTTAAGCAAATCAAGAGTACTTATATCATCATCTGAAGCAGACTGTTGGTCTTATAATTGATATATGCCACTGCTTTCGAACACAAAAACAGTGGGATTAACTTTCATTTCAAAATTCTTGATGAGATATTTTGGATAAATATATTGGATCTTTAACTATTTGTTTTCTACTTAGGTGATTATGTTTATATTTATGTTGTTACTTTCAAAGCAATCTTAATAAAACTTGATTTTAAGATTATTTAATTTATTAAAATTAATCTTAAGAAAATTTTATTTAGGCACTAATGAATTTATTACATTAATCTCAATAAAATAAATTATTCTTAAGAAATTTTAATTATGCACTAATAAAGTCTAATTTAACTTAGCATACCATAGTAAACTTAATATTTTTACATCAATTTCAATTAATTGAAATTATTATTAAGAAATCTTAATTACGCACTAATGAAGTCTAACTTAACTTAGCATGCCATCTTAGAAGTCTCCTAATACTGTTTTAAAAGAAGTACCGCTAACTACAACAAATGCTTGAGGAAGCAAGACAACTTATCTGGCTAATATGTGTCGGTGGGTGTTGTGTATGTCGGTAATTTAATAGCAAATCAATTTGCTTTTTCTCTCATACACCCCATCTATACACCCCCAACCGGAAGTAATAATAGACCTTAGTAAATATACAATATACATAAATAAATATAGAAGAAAAAAAGGTCCACATTTAAGTTGCTGCTATTATCTTCATCTATTAGTGGTAATATTTAAGCTTACAAAAGACTTTGCCTTGTAATTTTTGTATTATCTCCGAATTAATGTAAATTTCTACTTCTGCTTAAAAACCCATATTTTCACATTAACTAACACACACACACACACACATGTGTGTAAGCTTTTGGGCATAACAATTTTACACTGAAAAAAAAAACGTGTGTGTTTCTTTTTTGCACCCTTCACTCTTTTGTAATTGTTCGGCTCTTGTGTTTTGCTTTGATAAACTTTTGATGTTTGATGTTTTCTCACAGTTTTTGTTTCCAAATTTTGACTGAGTGGCGTTGGGGGGTGGTGTTGTGTGTTATATATGTGCTCTTAAACTGCACTTTACTGTGTTGGCTTTGACTGCAGCCTCACTTTTTCGCAAATAAAGAAACACATTCAGAAACGTTTGCCTGTGGAATTTTTTTAAATTGGCAGTTCATTGCGAATATAAACGCTTTTGTCAACTAGCGCCCGCGGGTATTTTTATATTTTCACACAATTGCTTTTCAATCGTTTTGTTGCTGCTGCTGCCGGTATTGTTGCTGCTACAATTTTAAAGCACACATATAGCAATTGTGAAAAACATTCCCCTTAACTGGGCTCTGCATTCAAAACTTTTCAGAACCGTTTTCACTTTGCTATTGGGTTTTCCGTTTGGTATATCCTTAACAGTATTATCATCATCATCATCAACATCATCATCATGATTATTTTCTTCATCATCAACAGAACCATCGTCATCAGCATCATCAATATCATAGAAATCATCATAGACGTCGTCATCGTCATCGTCTATGCTATTAAATGCGCTCTCATCGTCGTCTATGATTTACAAGTATTATTTTTTTTTTGTCTATATGTTGAGTATCCTTTTGCTACTGTGTCTGCGTTAGTGCCTTTTAGTGTGTTTATCCATAGAACGCTGGCGGCTTTTTAACTTTTTCCATTGCCACTTTGCTTTTCTCATTTTTGCATATAAAAATATGGACCACCACTGTGACCGTCGTTTGTTTCCTTTTGCCGTGACCACAATTGAAATATGAAATCCTTTGCGCACAGTTAGTGACGGAAATACAGACGTTGCATTTAAAACGCCAATTAGCGTATGCTTCTTTTTTTTTTTTGTTTTTTTTTTAAATAAAGGAGGAAAAAAATTGTTTGGTGTACCCCTTCAATATTCCGTTTCTAAATTCTTTCAAAACTAAACTCAGGAAAAAACGGATTTACTCGCATGTGGCGACAATTAAGCAAACTTCAAATCGATTTAGCAACAAAACACAAATAAGAACAATGACAGCAAAAGTGAAAAATGAAAAAAAAAAACAAAAAAAAAAGAATTGAAAAGTCACCATACCTCGTACGTGTCAAAGAACTTAAGTATAAGAATTTTTGCTAAGCAACCGAAAATGTTACTCCATCCCCCATCGAGCGCTCGGTATTTGGGTGTAAAGCCACATAATTATTATTAGCATTTGGTGTTATTATCACCCAGGATTTCAAATGTTCCGTTTGTTATTTGTACGATTTTATTTTATTTTATTTTATTTATTTATTTTAAGCTAAAGGGTTGCACCGCCCCTTCAACCCTAACTGCATACATCCCAGTCAGCGTAGACCCTTAACATGCCAGTGCTAATGAATTACCAAGAAATTTGTTAGAATTCTTGTTCGGAGTTATTAGTGTCGTTGTGATTATTACTATAGCTGTTGTTGTTGTTGTTGTTGTGTGGTTTTGTTGTTGTTGTTGTTATTGTTTTGATGAATGGGTTTTAGATTGCGAAGAGACATGGAAATTTATGCTTAAAGGATTAAATGTTTGTAAAGTTAGAAACAAATAACGAAAGGGTTTAATAAACAAAAGAAAACATTCGAACCAAATAATTTGTACAGCAGGACAACGAAAATGTTTTAAGTGGTTTCGATTGCATGAAACTGATTGTATCTAATCCCTCCAAATGTTTTGTTTAATTTGTACAGATTATTTCAATATGTTTAAGTCTAATTTAATTGTTGTTAAAGGTTTTTTTTCCTCTTAATACTTGCTTAAGTATATTTAAGTAGCTAATTGATATTTACTACATATCAGTGTTTTTCAACTTATGATATATTTGCATAAAAATAGTACAAGTATTTTTTTTGAACTTGACAATTGGATGTTCTAATCAGCCTTTTTTTATACCAACTGTTGTTACAGGCAAGCGCTCATGTCGAATCGCGGGTCCGATTCGGATAAGCTCAATCCGACGCATGTCAGCAGTTCACGTGCGCCACTTCATTTAGGACATACAGGACGTCCTCCACATCATTTACATCCGCACTCTGCATTACATGACAATCAGCAGGATGACGATGATAAGCTACTAGATGTGGTAGGACCACCGCAAAGCCCATTATTGCCTTTAAGTCATTCGCTGCAACAAATGCATGCGCATCAACATTCGGGTAAGTCTATAAAACAGTCTAGAATTTATTAAAATACAGTCAAAATTCTATAACTCAAATATACTATAACTAAATAAAGTGCAACAGGGTTGAGAGAGCAAATTATATACAATCACAAAAAAATTCTTTAACTCGAAGTCCACATAAGTGGAATCTTTTCTTTGCCAAATGGTATTTCGAGTTATGGAAGCTTGACTGTAGTATGAAAAAAAAATCGAAAAATTTTTCTCACACAATGTTTTTAGCAGAAACATATATATAATAAATTTTTATCAATATTATAGAATTAATTATTCCATATATATAAATTTATATATTAGTTATGGTCGGTAGTTGGTTGGTTGCAGTGACAGGCCATAAGATAAATTTTCATGTACCTCAATAAGCGACTTTCCCCATTTTGTTATCACATTCCTTGTAAGAACCCCTAACATAAAAAAATATAGACTTTCCTTTTTTATTTTATCCATGGTTTTTATTTTTTGACGAAAATGATATGAACTAAACAGATATTTACTGAGTTCCTATAATGTGTTTACAAATATTTACTTCTGAACGCATGAATACACAAGGTTGTCACTCCAATCATATCGTATTGCCGTACTTAAATTATTTAAATATCGTTTAATCATTTAAATTCAACTAAAATTTTTCGATTTTTTTCTTTGTATAATCACTCATATTTTTTTTTGAAAATAAAACACATTAAAACAATTGTCTAACCAATATAAAGCCCTTGCAGCATGGTTCAACCATTTGGCCGGTGCCGGCGATCACGGTAACGAAGATGCTCTACGGCGACGTTTGCAATCAGATGAAGTCGAGCGTGATGGCAGTGATTCAAGTTGCTCGGAGAGTGTTGGTGGCAGCACTGGTGGTGCCTTTCGTCCTACCTCATCCGGCAGTCCCAAAGAGGGTGCATCAAGTTTAAATACATCCGGTTCCTATCCTGCGCCCAATATTTCAGTAGGACCACCAATACACCCGTCACCACACTTGTTGCCTTATCTCTATCCACATGGTTTATATCCACCACCACATCTAGGTTTACTGCATAATCCAGCTGCAGCAGCTGCCATGAATCCAGCTGGTCTTAATCCAGGACTACTATTCAATGCGCAACTTGCCTTAGCAGCACAACATCCCGCCTTATTTGGACACTACTCAGGACATACGCCAGTCTCACCTTTACAAGGACTTAAGAATCATCGCTTTTCACCATATAGCCTGCCGGGTAGTCTGGGTTCAGCATTTGATGCTGTTACACCAGGTTCAAATGCAAATCGTGTTGGTGGCAGTGGACCTGGTTCTGAGGGGCCTGGTATTAGCAGCGGTGCTGGCAGCATTGATAATGGACCACGTAGTCTAAGTTCAAGTCCACGACCACGTGCCTCATCCAATTCACCACCAACGCGACCTATCTCAATGTCACCTACCACACCACCATCTTTGCTCAAGCGTAACAACTCGCCTTCGGAATTGAAGAGCATTGAGAAAATGGTCAATGGGCTCGAAGTGCAACATAATGGCAATGGCGGCAGCACGCTCGATGAACTGCAACGTAAGTCGCCTTCACATGCAGATCAGTGACATTTATTTGATAGGGACGACAATGACCGTTCGTCCGTCATTGATCTCGATGACGTGTGACCGCAATATGCAGTGATTTAGTGCGAGAAGCGATATCAGATTTATGCTGCAATTTAATGTGTATTTATGAAAGGATATGCAGTGGCCCACCATGTCTTAAGGAAGGTTAGGAAGGAAGGTTTTCATTATGTACCAGTATGTTAAAGCTTAGTTACACAGAGACACACAAACAAATACAGAACAAACCAGTAACACATGTTCCAAATTACGATTATTTTTAAAGAGTTTAGTTAATTGAATTTATGTTCACTCACACCTTAATTTGTATATAGAAGCGTGATTTCCTAATTAAAATTAATGAATAATAATTATTAATTATTAATAAAATTTAATTTGTAAATTGTTGAGTGAAGAGTTCAGTCAAACGGTTTATTTTTATTTAGAACTGTTGGCTGAATGTTATTAACCTTAAGTTCTGAAACCAAAGAGTTTTTATTTTATTTTCTCGTGTAAATTTAAAACAATTTTTTTATAAAATAATTTTTTTTTATTCGCAAAACTTCCTGTAGTATTATTAATTTCAAAAAAAAAACAAAAGGAAAATTTTATAACTATTTTGTAAAAATTATTTAGTTGTTAAATTTATTATAAATCCAACATGTTCCTCGTATAAGTTTAAAATTTATTAGAAGTTGTCAATGAGACTCTCGACGGTTAAAACAAGTAATGTACATTAGCAGATCTACAGATTTATTTTGAAATATTGTAACTCAGTGATTTAGTTATTTAGAAGCTGATTTTGCAAAATTATATGTATGCACAACAATATTCAATAAATCAAGACATTATTTGAGTTAAAAAAGTTCTATTAAAAATGTTTCTGCGAGTCTGAAATGTACAAACTTTGGCTAAGCCAGGGATTTTAACTAAAAGTTGTCTATTAATTTTAATTATGTTTTTACTATTATGTTTATTACTTTTAATGTGATTTATATATGTATAAATAAAATACAATTTCATCCACAAACGATATAATAATCAAACTTTTATATCAAAGAAATTCAATTCATACACCGACTTCTCCAGGTCAACTTCTCCAGGTAAAAATATACTTTAGAAAATATAAATGCAATCAGTTGAATTTTATAAAAAAATATTATAAAGAAATAAATTGTAAAGATCATTAAAATTAAAAATAAAAAGCAATATTAATTATAGTTAATTAGCACCTTTAATTGCTATTTACACTTTTCATTATTATTATTATTATTTTTATTTTTTTTACATATCTTTATTTCGTGTGAATATATTCAAAACGAATTAATTTCTCATAACAAACGTCAAAGTTGTAATTATAGTAATTAAATTAACAATTAAACCGAAAAATAATTTGTATTTATATAGTACGCATTTGACTATATATAAAATCGCATATAAAGTAAAATAGTGCAGCAATGTAATTATAATTAAATTAATTGAAAAAAAAAAATTGAGAATTTGTTTTAGTGTCGAACGCGGACGCGGCAATTGTCGCATGCAAAACACGCGACATTCGGCGCGTTCGTGTGAGATTTTGTATATATGCCTAACATGTAATTAGAGTTTAGTAAATAAAAATAAAAAAAACAATATATATATATATATGTATAATTATATATACATAATTTGAAAGCATATAAAAACGTAAATAACTAGTGTTTATATTATTTAAAACTCAATTAGAATTTATCTACTAGCAACACACCGTATTTGTGCATAAGAGTTATTTAAATAAAAATTGCAATTATTATATATTAATATTAAAAAATATTTAGAAAAGGCAAATTTATATGTAAAATGAAAATGTAACAACAAATTATATATAACACAAAAGACAAAATAAAATAATATTAAAGTTACATTGTAAATTTGTTATTTTAAATTAACATTCAAATATAAAAATAAAAAGACAAAAACATTAAAAAATCCACATAAATATTAAAAAAAAAAACTTGTTTCATTTTATATAATATAATCACTTTTGAGAGTAGTAAACGGTCATCAAAATAGTCATTAAAACTATTGAGTGGATCCGAGAAGTAGACGTAGGCTACTGCTGGAACTAAGCCCTTAATTTGTTTATTTTCAATATACACTAATGTTATATGATTTATTCAAGAAATCTATATATTAGAACAGGACTGTCCAAAGTACGGCCCGCACTAATGTTTGTGCAGCCCGGTACTTGATTTTAATCTACCACAATTACGCAAATTTTCTTCTAGTGTACTTGTAACACATTACAGTAAGACCCCGCTAAAAGCTGTTTCGTTTAACGCTGTTTCGGTTTAGCGCTCTTTTATTCCAACCCGAACATTTAAGCAGATGTTTAAAAAAATAGACGGAGAAGAGAAGCAATCAGTAAGAGAAGAGAAACTCGAGACTACAATATCATGAATGTTGTAGAAAACATAAACCTTTCTTGGAATAAGATTACAGAAAGATCTTTGAAAAGAGTATGAGAGAACATTTGACCAGATTTAAGCAAGAGCGAAGATATTGAACCCTCTGTCGATATAGATGAAATAGTGATGAAAATAGTGGAATTAGCGAAACAAACCGGTTTAGATGAGGTAAAAGTGGAAGACGTCAAAGACATAGTTCAAGAAACAGCAAATAGTTTTGTTAATGATCAGCTCAAGGAATTAATTGAGTAAGAAGAAAACAAAAATAGTAGTGATTTCGAAGAAGAGCAAAAAGAACTTTCGATATTGTTTGTGAAAAGGAATTTGACCACTACAACTGAAATTATGGACCAATTTGTTAAAATTGATCCAAATTTTGGAAGGAGTTCAAAAGCAAGACGGGGTGTTATAGATGCTTTAGATGCCTTCTTGACAAAGAGACGGAAGATTGGAAACACAGAATAGACTGAATAACATTACTTTTGTTTTTGTAAGAAAAAAATATTTGGTTCTATTATTATTAAAAGAAACATAATTATTAAATTTAATACCTAAGCAATTTTCTATCAATCTTCCCCTAACCTTAATATTTACATGTTAATATAGCCTCGTTTAGCGCTGTTTCGCATTACGCTCTACTTTGACGGAAATGTATCCCAGGCCTTAACCGGAGTCTTACTGTATTTTACTTTTATCGTTTACCAAATAAATGAATTTGAATTGATAAATTAATAAAACTAAATTTAATATTATAACCGACATTTTATTTTTGTCGAAAACAACTATGAACCTATGTGTTTCTGCGGCGCTCCAATCTATATAGTGATTTGTATTGGCCCGCGATCGCCTCTGGTCTGAACAGCGCTGTATTAAAATATGACTATCATCAACTGTTTCTTTAAGAGTTGTTCCAATAAAGAGACCGACTTAAAAAATTTCTTGAAAGGATTGTGGTATTAACATACATAAGATCATAGTTTTTCAACAATACAATATCATAAAAACCGAGTTAACACTTTTTAATTTTTTTTAGAGTTATGTTATAATTTTTCATAGACTCTAAATAGGTGTGTATTAGAAATAAAATACAACTTCCTTTTCGAAGTTGTTCCTTTTCCTTTCCTTTTTGAACTAGAACACAAGAACAAGAATAGATGTAGAAATGTAGAAATGAGAAGTAAAACTATATTTGCAGTTATATACCATGGTTACAAGATACGAAATACAATACCTAATAGAATTGTAGACGTAATTGTAAACGTTTATTTGCTGCAAAAATTTAATAACTCTTTATGCCCGTTTTTAAGGCGTTTCAGGTTTTGACCATAACTTAGTGGAATTTGAAACCATTCCGTTTGTGCTGTGCTTCCATAGTAGTATACTCGCACCGTGCTATCAAGATGATCCAGTCAATCAAAAAAGAAACTAATTCTTTCACCAATGCTTATGATTGTGATATCATTTGTAGCGTCTTATTAATTTTATAAAAAATTAACTTATTATCATTAATAATAAGTTATTCATAATAATACTATTAAAAAAAAGGTAGTTCATTGTTTATATTGTATTGTATATCAAATTTTATATAGAACTGTTTTCCTAAAAATCACTTTATATATGTTACTATATGAAAAAAGAAAATCTTATGAAGCAAACATTTTTGGTGTCTTTAACAATGTTTCATACGATGCCGTAAAAATTTTTATGACTAGGTAATTTATCTCTTCCATGATCAACTGGAACACTACCATGCTTAAACCAAGTACAATCACTTCAGACTACAGTTAATTTAATATATCTGTCATATATCACTTGAGAGTGATGTCATTAGGGAGGCTATGTAGTGAGAGTTGAGGGTGATGTCATTGCAAACTACGTAATGATTAAAATTTTTTAAAAATTTAGTAAATAAGATCTTATCCTCGAAAATTATAAAACTGATATAGTTACCTTGATTCCAGATGGTCAGTTAATCAGTTAGATAATATACAATATCCGAACACCTTACAATAACACAGGTATGATGTACTGGGCCTACATATTTCTAATTCGTAGCCGCAGTTCAGCAATGGACGAACTGGTATAAGAATACAGGTATAGGGACCAGATATAAAAAAGAGCTTATGTGATGTTATCTATCCATCTTCATCTCTGGCAATGAAAAACGGAACATATACTATAATAAAAATATGACCAAGCAGTACTGAAATCGTTAAGAATGTGTGAAAACTAAAAGCTCTCCGATATTTTTTACACTCAAAAGGCTAGAGAATAATAAAAGTTTTTATTAGAACAGAATAAATGTAAAAAATGTAAATACAAATAATGTTAGTAATAATTGGTACAGTACTAAAAATACCATATTTAACTTGTGATAATTAGTAATAACTATATACCTATTTCTATCGACTGTCATTGACATAATACACAACTTAACTACATCCAACAGAACAAATCAAATAAAAGGATTAAGATAAGAATATTGTATAAATACTGCTTTAAGTAATATTAAGTTCATCCTGACTTAGCATCCTCTCAATTAAAGGTATTAATCTGCAACTGTCCTTTATAGCACAGATAGTGTACTGCCATATTGGCAATATATAATCAATCATCGAAATCAGTCGAAGAACCTTAGGAAAATTAATATAATTATAACATTCACCTTAAATATTATAACAGTGAGAGTTTTTTGACGGTTTTTAAGAAAGTTTTTTCTTTATTTTTAAGCGAATTGTTTAAATAAATATAATTCAAATAAAATTTTTAGCCGAAAACAGTCTATGCCAAGTTATAGATCGATTATGAAGTGAAAGGCTACAGTTAGCATTTTAGATATTCCGATATATATAATTTGTTATATGTACTTATATACTAACTTTTAGTATAAAGGTATAATATGGTATACCATAGC